CTACACCTCCGAAGCAAACCAATGTGGGCACCACATTGAAGCTTCATCCGAAACAGGTGACACCGCCACATAGTCGCCACACCGGTGCATTGTGGCAACAACGTTAGTTCTGGACTGCCACCACACTGGCACTAGGATATGTGGATGCTACGTGCACCCCAACATCTCTTAATATGTTGGAATCACATACGTAGGTACATGCGAGTTACGTAGTCATTAACCATGTAAATAGGTTTTGTGCAGCTGTGGGATAGCCCAGCCATACATCACAGATACATGGCTGTAGCTCCGGTTCATCCAGGCCTCGTAAAGCTCAGGTGTGATACAAATGTGATTTTCTTCTGCTGTAGATATAGTACTATACATGGGACACAACTCAAAAGAATGGTGAAATAAAACAGTGGAATGTTACAATTCCGTCACCCCGCCCTTCGAAAGATACTCGTCAACCTCTTCCTGATAGCCCTCCTGTTCATCCTGCTCAGTTTGGTCCTCCTTCTGCCTGCCGTACGTGTCACGGTCGGTATCGAGAATATGTGTCATAGCCCTGCAAGTCAAACGCGATCAGAGCCACATCGAGAACAGTCACAAGAAGTGGCTCACTTGTTCAGCTTGTGTTGAGCTTTCTTACCGTCGCCTTCCCCCAGTGTTTTGGCCTTGTCTCTCATTGAAGCGAGAGTGCGGTCGACGTGGCTCCAGTAATTGTGTTCGTCCTCCTTCCCCTTCGTAGCATACACCTTTCTCTGTCATGTAGAGCTATAAGAATAAAGCTTTGATTCTGTAGCACAGATCCGAGACGTACCATAAGAGCCACCCGTGCGCATACCGCAGGAGTTATGGCGCACTGGCCGTCCACAATAGTCTTGGTCAACGTATATATATCGGGGCAGTCTCCCTTATCCTCGTGCTGAAGGCTGCCACGGATCTGGAGGGAAGAGGCAAGGAACATGCCCAGATCAGAAGCGGCACACATTACGAGCAGAGATCACCCACCAGCTTCTTCCACTTGGAGCGTGTTTGAGTCTGGCTTGTCTGAATTGCATTGCGGACTTTCGTGCTGTCTGCAACATTGCGGTCGTAATTCGCCGGCAAGTCGTTTGCACAGTACTTCTTGAGGAGGTTCTGGCATGCCACATTCAAGAGAATCAACAATGAGACATCGAGAGACCGCCTGTCTAATCGGCTTACCTCTGTGGCAGAACATGGCACCGAACCCTTGTAGTGAGACAGTCGACTTGAGAGCAATGTCGCTGTCGCATGTTTCTCAATGTTTTTCTGTTGAGAGCATGTGGCCACTCAATGTCAGACATAATCGTCACATTTATTGTATTCTTACCTTGAAATCATCCGTGATTTCATACTTGGGTTGTGCCTTCACAATTTCGTTGACCTTCTCAGTTAATGCTTGAAGCTTAAGCATGATCAGCGCGTCCCGCTCACTCGGGGGTCGCTGTATTCCAACTGCGCTCAGAACCATCCAATGAAAACAGGGTAGTGCTCACCGTGGCCCATGTCTGGCAGAATGAGACTCCTTCAGCGGATAGTTTCATTCGCTTTCCCTCCTTCTTGACGAAGTCCGCTACCCTGGCAGAGCTACCATTGTCACGGTTGTGGCTAGCCTGCAAAGCCACAATATGTGACTCGAGCGAGCCAGCTTGAACTATATCGGTAGCAGGCATTCCCGAAGGTGTCATGCTGCCAGAGGTGACACCCTCGCTACCACCATCCTCAGTGCCACTCATGCCATCGTCAGTGGTTAACCGAGCGCGTTTCAGGACGCGCTGTGGCAGGGGACTAACGTTTGGGGAGTCAGCTTCCATGAAAGCATTAATCTCATCGTCTACGTCGGAAGGTGCGGGAGTGCTGTTTGCAGCCATGTCGTATCTGGAGAGGCGACCACGATGGGAAGAGGAAAGACGCGTCGCAAGTACGCACTCGCAGCGCGTGCTTTATTTGCCACCTGTGGTGGCACTGCCAATGTGGCCACAAAGGAATACCACTTACCGAACAGCGCATTCATCTAATACCAGCACTTACAGCTTGCAAAGCATGCCTCCAGCATTACCTTTACCAGAATGTGAGCGCAGTTGCCCGTGTGGCTTACAGAATAGTATTTTAATACCTTACTATCCCAAGGTTTCGAGGAGTCTGAAGAAAAGAAAGCTCACAAAATTGAGAAGCGGTTTCGGTGCAAAATATGTGCACCACTTCTGCCAGAGAATCGTCAGTGGGTTACTCGAGAGGGTGCCCGCAAGCACTTGAAGTCGGATACCCATCGAGCCTCATTGGAAGCATCAGATCTCCGGCGTGCACAACAGGCTGAGCTTGACAAAGCACGTACCGAGGGAGAGAGTGCATTACAGGCTGAGCGCGACAATGAGCACCAAGCCAATCTCAGGATACCAGCGATGCGTATTCACAGCACTCAGAGGGCAATTCGTGAGCAGACTGCTGCTGAGCAGGAGATGTGGGTCGATTATGAAGCAAACGGTGCTGACTTTTCATGTGGCATCGACCCAGCACATGAGGAGCGGCATATGCTTAATGAAGCGCTGGACAAAATTTCGATGGGGCTACGCAATCTCAACGCACAGGACCTGATGGATGGTCAAGATCAGTGGGATCTACAGGAGGATGAAGACGACATACTGGCTGACATACTGCAGAACACTGGTTCGTGCTCTACACCTCAAAGCAATATCAATTCTAAACACATCGTACCTTTATACAGTCGACGAGGAAGCCTTGACCATCGATGAGATCCACCAGCGGGAGTTTGCTATCCCTCCGCCGCGGAAGGACGGCGCATGGTACCCATATGCTAATAAGACTGTAAGACTTCTGCTCGCATCGTGAGGTTAAGACATCAGCTTACCAAGTATACTGCAGATGTTTTTACTGGATATGTTGGACAATCTCCCGCGACTTAAAGTGTCCAGCTCGCTTATGCGAGTATTTATCTGGGTCTTGAAGCATGCCGGAGCTCGAGATGTCCCATCATTTGATTATCTGCGAAAGGTTCAAGCAAGCCTCCGGAAGCGCTGTGGTGTACCTACACAACAGTACAAAAGCGCAAAGAGTAACATATTCTTTTACAACGACCCGACGGACTACATTGCAAAGGTCAGTGTCAGACTGCTGAAGCCATGAGACGGGAACTCACCCAGCACTATTAGGACTGGGCAAATCCATCGGTCCGGAAAGAAATCAGAACATATCCAGTAATCCCAGACGGTCCCATATCTGAGTGGTGGCATGCCGAGAAGCTCCATAAGGAGATGGACCTCGACATACTCTCACCGATGTATGATGCTGGAGGGGGGCGGCATTACTATGTGAATGAAATAGCTAGAATGAAGAACGGTGAATATATTATTCCGATTCGCTGGCTCGAGAGGGAAAGGGATCGGGCTATCGTAGCAGATTCCTATCGCCTGATTCCCCTGAATGATGGGGTGAGTGTTTTGCAATGTCACGAATCAAGTAGACAACTTACCAGTGCAGGCCGACACATATACCGTCGATGATACTGCCCCTGTGCTAATTGAAGCCACAATGCTGGAAGTGACTTACCCCGAGCTGAAAACCTTTGGAGCCATTCCAAAGTGCGCCAGTGAGTGCGGTAGTTATTGATGTCTTGGAGGTAGCACTAACCACTTGATTATGAAACTATGGGTTTGGCAGGCTCACCTTCATTGAGAGAGATGCCAAACCGTTTACGAGAGCTTGCTTGCGGTGATCCGCTTTACTCAAGTTTTGTGGACTACTGGTCCGACGACGTGTCGGGAAATCGCTCCAAATCATACAATAAACACATAAATGCTTGCATAACGCACCGAAATCTGCCACGGCATCTCCTACAGCAGGAGATACATGTACATTTTGTGTCTACTTCGCAGCATGCGTCCCCCCCGGAGCAATTCCAGGCGTTTAAGGATGTTGTTGAGTATGTGCTGTGCCTGTACACTGAATTAGTGGCTAAAATCTGGGTTAATCGTCAGATCAACACACAAGCAGCCTGTTAGATCATATGACGCACTTACTGGTGAAGCAGTGAGGTTCCGACTATTCACTAATACGGGCCCAGGTGATAATCCGCTGCAAAGCGAGATTTGCGGTCATATCGGCGTAAAGGGAAACTATTACTGCCGCAAGTGCAACGTTGGGGGAACGGGGATTGAGAAGGAAAGTGAGGACGGATACAAGGCTTTATTTAAGGTGGGCAAACCTGTCACATACACTACTACTGGCAGCAACACCGATCAATACTACAATTGCAGCCTGGAGAACCACGGTCAGCGGCAGCAACATTAAGGGAGGTGGACAAGCAGCTTCTCGCTGCCTGCACCGGAAATGCAGCAAGTGTGGATAGACTGCAGACCTCGACGGGTGTGAAGGACATGTACACACAGTACTGGATTGAGGACCTGATTGAGCGGGCCCGCAAAATGAAAGCCGATGGCAAAAAGCCTCAAGAGATCCGACGTACACTTGAGGAGTGGGTCGCAAGCCACCGAGATTCAATCATCAACCCATATCTCACCATCCGCGGATTTGACCCAAGCAAAGATACCCCTGTCGAAATCCTCCACACCATCCTGCTCGGAACGGTGAAATATATCTGGTATATGTCCCACTCAACCTGGAATGACTCACAGAAGAAGTTATATGCTGTCCGGCTCCAAGCAACAAACCCTTTGGGCCTTAACTTACATGCGATATGGGCGGACTACATAATGCAGTTCGCCAACTCCTTGATTGGCCGCCAGCTCAAAACCGTTGCGCAAACAAGCTGCTTTCATGTCCATGACTTGGTTGGACCCTTGCAATTCTCGTTGTGGAAAGCCTCGGGTGAACTGAACGCACTGCTGTGGTTCCCCGAGATTGACTGCATGGAGCAGTACCTGGTATGAACAATCAGTACAGCTGAGCGTTCCGAGACTCACTCACGATGTCTTTTTGCTTCATCAGCATGATCTGGATGTTGCCATAGGCAACGTACTCGACCTTTTTAGCATGATTGACGCGAAGAAGATAGTTAGTAAAGCAAAACTTCACCTTCTACCTCACCTAGCCGAGGATATTCGCCGACTTGGACCGATTCTCGGCGCATTGGTGGAAATGTTTGAATCCTATAATGCTGTATTCCGAAACAGTTCCATTTACTCCAACCATCTTGCACCAAGTCGTGATATTGCAATTGATCTCGGTGGTCTCGAGAGCTTCAAGCACCGCATACTTGGCGGATACTGGCGCTCACCTGAGGACAATGAAGTATGGGAATGTGCTGGGCCCGAAGTACGGGATTTCCTGAAGCAAAACCCGATCCTACAGCGTCAGATAGGGTGGACGGAGGAGGATAAACTGACTCCGGGTATGATATACTACTGGCAGACGAAACCACGAGGGAGGAACTCACTCAGACTGACAGGTACAGTGCGCATCGCACCATTTGTGAGACATACGCGTCAACGCCCGACTGTTAGCTGGGATAAGACCTACGCTTCGCGTGCCGTGAACCATGCAAGCTTTGCTGGTTTGGGCCGAACTTGGAATCCCTGCTTGTACGCCGTCTCACGTACCTCAGAGCGGTGCCCTGCTGGAGCATGGATATTTGGGCACTCACCTGTTACTGTAAGTGCATACTTGTGACTTGGATAGCCTAATAAATCTTTTGATACATGGCCCCTAGAATTCCCTCGTTATAGGGAAGATCATCGAGATACTCACAGATGCGGAGTCTCGTACGTCGATTGTAGTACTTGACCAATTCACGGTTGGCTCGTCTCGTCACCCAATCTTTGGAATGCCTACCTTGACTCGGAGGATGGGCGAGATAACCTATATCTGCGTCAGGCCTGATGTAGGTTATGTTACACTCACTACGACGTATATTCACTGTTTTATGGCAGGAAATTGACTTTGCGGTCAATGTGCAACACGACTGTCACACGGCAGGGTGCACAGCCAGTGCACTATGCCCTCGCAAGCAGGAGCGCCTTGAATGTGGTATATTTGATGCTGCCATCGCGCATGAAGATGACGAAAATTACATTATAAACACTCACGCATTCCACAATGCACATCTAATTCGGCGTGCCCTTCCTCGACACCTGACAGCGCCGATACCTGCAGTCTCGGATCGGGAAAAGAAACATGCGGAATTGGCACAGTCGCTACATTCCACGCAGACTGCAAGGCGGGAAAGCCAGCGGAGAGCACGAGAAGTCAAGAAAACAGAGGCAAAGCTTGCGAAGGCTGCAGCAAGCGGTCCAACTGCGGTAACCAAAGATGTGCAGTTGGCTGAGACCGGTGGAAGCGACGGTGAAGGTGTCGATGAGGACAAGGATGACCCTGAAGATGTCAGCAAAGATGAAGGAGAACCTGAAGGTGTCAGCGAGAACGATGGCCCTGATGAGGACAATGAAGGTTGGGATTGCAACAATGGCGTGGCAGGGGGAGGAGGGTATACGAGTCGAAAAAGACGTAGGCTCAGTTAGCAGAGCACGGATGTATACTGTAAATGCAGATGTGACCATACACCACCATCAATACCTTACTCGACTATTGCACTCAAGTTCTATCGGTAACGTCGAGCCCAGCTGGGCTGACAATATGGGCTCACCACCTAGCGACTACATCGGGAAGATATAGAGTCAAGATCAGATCATGATCTTGTTATCAGGGAGTCAGAGACATCGCAGGCAGAAGGATGCATTATCAATAGTATCTACGCGACACGATTAGATCAACGTTTGCCGGAGTTGTGGGTGCCGCCGGCATGCCACGACGACTCGAGGTCATTGTGGCCCATGAAATGAACCTGATGTCCAAATCTGGACATGACATGTTCCCAAGTTGGCGGTGTAGCTACTTTAAAATCGGGAAACAAATTGTAGATATTCTTTTGTATAGCGAAGAATCTATTCTTCCCGTCCAATTTTGCGATTTTGGCCTTGAAGGTAGAAAACCGGTCAATTATGAGGGCTATTTAGCACAGAAACACACACACGAAGTACAAATCGGAAAAAAGGACGGGAAGGATGTCATTTTTCGTTCATAAAAGAATATTATATGATTTTTCTGGGAATTGTGGTGCTGTGTGGAATCCACAGTTTGCACCACAACGACGTGCAGCCCAATGAGCCTGCTCGGCAAGTGCCGAGACGCGTTGAACGAGCGCGTCGCGACGCGTCGGGACGTGTTTTTACGGTGACGCATCACTTCTGGCTGGTCTCGCAGCTATTCTGGGCTGCTTGATTGATCTGCTGGGCTTCCTCGTCATGGATAGGCCCTGGATAGGGCGTTCTCGAGGACAGAAGACTCAATTCCGGAAGATAGGATCTGCAAAGATTACTGCACTATTGGAGGCTGTCAAGAGATTCTCTGAAGTCTACCCTTTTAATTCTTTACCAGCCAGCTGCTGTAATGCCTGAGGACTCTGAAGAATACTGCTTTATTACTAATATAGAGCACTATATAGACTATAATAGTGCTTCTTATTGTAGATATTATCCATATAGCCCTGTATCTGAG